TCATCCATGAGTTTAAGCGTCACATGTTATTTACTGTATTATACTGTAATATACTTATATTTGTTATAAAATTAAATAGAAATAATAAATCTGATAAATTTTTATTTTGTACTTATTGATTTCTGCTTAATATCAAGTGTAAGAACATTTTAATTAATTGTGTTCAACGTACTTCCCCTTCAAATCTCAATCCAGTGAATTTGTATACCAACATCAACATTTTCGTCTTTGTTCGTAAATAATTTCATTGTACTAAAGGGTTATAGTGACTCCGTGGCTGATGTTCTCTTATTGTTCCTCTTAGATCGTTTACTATAATGTAATATAACAAAAACTTTAGCCACAGCAACGCGTGGCCGGGTCAGCTAGTATATATATATATATATATATATATAAAGACGAGATGATTAAATAAAGACTGATAAACAATCACTATGTTAATTAAACAACAATTATAAATAATATTATAATACAATGGCTTGGGCACACTGATGCGTTAATTTTTATTTCACGCCTGTGACTGACTTGCTATTTTCCCGGTAGCGTGTTGCTAGTTGCAACTACTGACCTGCCCTCTCGAGCGACTTTCCGTCACCTCGGCCTATGCCAGTATTATTTTGAAAAGTTCAATTCCACCGCGTGATGAATAATTCTCTCCCAGAACATGAATCGAGCCGGCACCCGCGTAAAATATCAATTTAATAACAATCATGACTATTATTTAAATAATCATTTAACAAATAAACCAAACGTGAGTTTTAAACATGAATTTGAGCCGAGCTTCAGGCTCGTGTGCTCCAAATTGGGGACCTCGGGCGTCCTCAGGCCCGTCGGCCGCTCACTTGAGCCCCGTAACTTTTTAAATTAATTTAATTAAATAAATTAATTATTTAAACTTAATGATTAAATTTGTTTCTTTATACTTCTAGTCGCCGGCGATCACCTTGATCGCGTTTTGGGCTGAAATAAAATATAAATAAATAATACAAACTTAAAACTAAATTTTATTTTCTAATAAGTTTTAATTTATTCGCCCAGGAGGTGCCGCCATCTGGCGGAGCCTCCGACACCAGTGTGCTCAAGCCCGACGGGAAATGCCACAGCGTGTCAACACTGTGACACTCCCCGACCAGACCGAACCTTACCCCGTAAGGTCGGCCGTAGACCTCGAGCATTTCCCACCGTGGACTTTAGGCCTTATCAGATCGTTTTTAATTTTATATAAACTTACCTTTGTGCTAACTAAAAGGATTACAGGTTTTAGCGGAGGTAAGGAGGTTGGAGGAGACTAAATAAATCTCGCGTATGTACTTTGAATTTTCGACGACGCATTATGCACGCCGCCGATGGTTATATTAGCAATTATCAGATGATCATTACATGACGTGTGATGCTGAGGTACAAACAAAATAAGAATAAATAATTAAATAAATAAGGATAAAGACTGCTGGTCCCGACTCTTCTCGGCGCGGACCCGGCGTACGCCGGTAGGCTCTTGCCTAACCCAAGTCTGGCAATCCCAGCTTTTCCCGCTAGTGGACCGCCGTTACGTTTTCTTCGATAATGTCCATCGCGTGAGGGCAATCGCGTAACTGCTGGAATACAGATCGTCCGCATTGTGCACTGGCCGCGTTGGTTGGTGCGGGGCTTATGGCATATCATGCACCGCTCGCGCACGAGCGATCGGAAGTCGCCGTGGTCTCCTATGCAGCGACCCCCCTCAACAAAGACATTGCACTCTGTGCAGAACGGCAATTTCTTCTGGGCCGAATTCTTGCAGAATCTGGCTGCGTGGCCTTCTATTCCGCAGAAGGCACATCCTGAAGGTAGTTCCTTTTTTGAGCGAAATTTTCGAAGCACCCACGCTTTGGCGCGGAGGCTTTCGACCGCAATCCTCTACCACTCTTCAGTGCCACGCTCCACCGGTGTACCCCAGTTATAACTATCCATGATGCTATATTGATAATGGTAAATATTATTATTTAATTTTCGTTTAGAAGAGTCTGAGAGACAGAATGCAGTAAGTAAAGTGATAGATCGGAAAGTCAGAACAAGATAAGAGTTAGGCCTCCACAGCTACAGTCCTTTCATCGGCCCGATGAACGAGCTTCAAATTTTTGATATGGCTCTTGCCAATTGATACTCCATCAGGCGTCTGAAGCTCCACTATTACAGGGGTCAAAACCGCGCTCACAATAAACGGTCCAATAAACCGCGGGGCTAATTTACCTACAACTTGCTCGCTTTTCTTTGATAATACTTTATTGGGTCGATATACAGTATCCCCAACGGTGAATTTCAGTATACGCCACCGTGGGTTATAATATTGGGCCTGGCGTTCCGACGCTTTGCGAATATTAACATTAAAGATATCTTGTAATTCGACTAAGCGATCCATTCGCTGGATCCACGCTGAGATCTCGATCGGCTCTTCGATTATAATTTCCCCATTTTGGTTTAACCCGAACGGACGCATAGGACAGGGATCGCGGCCAAAATTAAGAAACGCGGGGCTTACCCCCAGTGAGTCGTGCCTCGCAGTATTATGCGCTAATTGGAATTCGTATATGTGCTTATCCCACTCGCGATGATCATCATCCAAATAACTCATAATCATCGTCTTTAAGTCACGATTAATTCGCTCTACCGGGTTTGCCTGCGCGTGATACGGCGGGGTCGTGGTATTTTGGATACCACACTCATCTAAAATCTCCTGAACGTCACGATTTACGAATTCCCGACCGTTATCGGTCCAAAATACGCGTGGCGCCCCCCAGCGGTTAACTATCGACTGAGCGAAAGCCCGAGCTACTGTTTTCCCGTTAGCTGCACGAATCGGTACGCATTCAATCCACCGAGTGTATAAATCCTCAAACACCAATAAATACATGAAGCCAGACTTTGACCTGGTGAATGACATCGTGTCGGCCACTACTACCTCCCACGGTCGCATCGGTGCACGAGGCGTCATTTCACCCGCCGGCTTATGTCGGATGGGCTTGGATTCTAGGCACACTGGGCAACGTCGAACATACTCACGCACATCTCGGTGCATGCCGGGCCAATAAAATCTCGCGCGAGCTCGCGCATATGTCTTATCAATTCCTAAATGTCCCGCCTGGGGATCGTCGTGGACTTGTTGTAATGCAATCGGCCTATCATTCTGATGCACGACCATCTTCCACTGCTGATTATCATCTACAACCGCTTACAAAGGATCATAGAACCGTCGATACAAATTTCCAGCCTTATATTTATAACCTTCGATGGCTGTCGGATCGTCTATTAATTCGCGGCATTTCTCATCATACCATTCGTCGCTCACGTCGTCATTCAACGCGCCAAACTCTTGATGTGCCAGCTCTGTATCCTCAAACATCCGAGATAACGCATCAGGCGCTTCGTTCTCGGTCCCGCGGCGGAATACAACTTCCATATCATACCCTGAAAGCTCCAAAGCCCACCTGGCTAACTTTCCGGAGGGATCTTTCGTATTCATGAGCCAACAGAGACTTGAGTGATGTTACGACCGTAAAACGATATCCTTCTATATAAGGCCTGAATTTGCGAACGGCCCAAATCACCGCAAGGCATTCCTTTTCAGTCGTGCTGTAATTGCTCTCGGCTGACGTCAGGAATTTGCTGGCGCAGCCGATCAATCACTCTTTTTCATCATCAGGTTGTACTAATATTGCGCCGATTCCCGTCTGGCTAGCATCGGTGTACAAAACAAACGGCAGATCATAATTTGGCACTACCAACGTTGGAACCTCAGCCAGAGCTTTTTTCATCTGTTGAAAAGCTTCCTCTTCCACCTCAGTCCATTGCCACGTTACATCTTTCCTGGTTAACCGATTTAGCGGAGCTGCCACGCTCGCAATATCTTTCAGGTGACGGTGATACCAATTTATCATTCCATTAAACCGTCGCACCTGTTTGACATTTTTGGGCGTCGGGTAATTCAAAATAGGCGCAATTTTGTCCGGATCGGGCCTCAAACCGTCTCGATCCAGCTGAAAGCCCATAAATTTTGCCTGGGTTTGACAAAAATGGCTTTTATCGAAATTTAAAGTAAATCCAAAGTCTCGTAATCGGTGCAGAACTTCTTCGAGTACTTTCAAGTGTAATTCAAACGTCGGCGTCACGACGATAATGTCGTCCAAGTAACAGTACGCGTAAGGGCGTAAGTCCGGCGTGATTACTTTGTCCATTACTCGCTGGAAAGTGGCACCGGCGTTGCATAAACCCATTGGCATACGCTTAAACTGGAAAAGTCCTTTTCCGGGTACCCAAAAGGCAGTGTACGATCGGCAATCCGGCGCGAGCGATACTTGATAATAAGCAGAATTTGAATCCAGCGTGGTGATGTAATGCGCACCACCGCTGTTTTCGAGGGTTTCAATTAGAAATGGCGGTCGATCTGTGTCTTTCTCAGTAACACCATTCAGATCTCGGAAATCGACGCACATTCGGAATTTCCCATTTGGACGCTTGACCATGACAGGTTGACTCAACCATTCAGAAGATTCAGCGGGTTCTACAATATCGTCTTCTAACATTTGGTCGACGATCTCGTGCAGCGCTTTCATAACCACCGGGGATCGACGGTAAACGCGTTGCTTGACTGGCTGATGTGCCTTCAGCTTGATGTGATGTTCCACAGCCTGGGTTAAACCTAACCTCGGGGGCATCAAGCTTCGCTGGTGCGTCAAAAACCGGTCCAACTGCTGTGTCTCTGACCCCGTTAATTCATAAAACGCAAAAAAGTCACTTGCCCGCCTACTTTCAGGTTCACGTTGTAACGGGTGCCATTCGCCGTCGCCGAACCGCCATTCGTCATTTATCAGATCAATGTCCATACCAAAATAATCTATAAAATTCATACCGATCAAATTGAGCGACCCGAGGCTCGGGAATCGCACTAATTCCACATCATCCAGCGACATCTCAAGGTCCAAAACACCGCCGCCGGTCTCAATGGTATGATTAGCCATTCCAAATCAGGTTGGAGTTACTTCGGTGAGCACTGAGCATCCAGAATTCATTATCTCTGCAGCAAAACTCCCAAAAGTCGTAGTTTTAGCCCCAGTGTCGACAATGGCGGTACTTCGTTTCCCATTCGAACAGATCACTACCATCGGACGTGGTCGACCAACCTTTAAGTCCCAATAAGCATCGTCCGAGACGTGACATAATCCAAATTCCGACGCTGGTGACGATAGGGTTTCTATAATATCAAAATCTATAAACGTATCAATAAATTCAGGAGGTACCGCATGTAATTCAACTTCTGCCACCAACGGATGCAGTAAAATTGCGTCTTCTTGCGCTATAGTCGCTGGTGGGAGTTGTTTTGGTTGCGGGTCGGCAGTTATTGGGCACGACCCGCCCCGTCGTTTTTTGGCAACGGCAATTTACGCTGCGGGCACGTACAAGTGATAGCCGTGAGGCCTAGAGTACCGCACCGAGGGCAAATATCACGATGGGGATTCGGACAGGTCCACACAAAATGATCCGTTTCACCGCAATTGAAACAGAAACGCAATCGGCGACGCAAATCTCGCGACTTATCCTCATTCGGCTTCCTTGTTTTGGTTTCCTCGGCGCTCACCGCCGTTACTTCCTCCTCTAGACAACAATCATCAGCTTTCGGATCGATTGGAGCCGCTCGAGAACCCCTGGACCTGCTTTTACGGCCACCTGTGGACCTCTTCGCTGGTTTTTCAGGGATCGTGTCGTCAGCAACCGCATGAACGTGGGTTTTCCTCCTATCGGATCTCGACGAGCGAGGGTAAGCACACTCAGCTACGTACGAGTCGTCCCTCGATGGCGGTGCACGGTACATTTCTCCCTTCTCCATTCCTCTTCCTGAGCAGTAGCTGCATCTAGAAGTTCCGAATATGTTCTATACCTCTTAGGAGGGCAAGCACGCCAATATTCGGGCCTCAATCCTCGTTGGGCTCGTTTCACTTGGTGGCGCTCACTGGGAGGTGTCCTCAAACGCGAGTATAGGCTTTTCAGGCAAATCAGGTAGTCTGTGGCAGTTTCCTCCTCACCCTGGTTACGCGCGCGTATGTCCTCTTTAATTTCCTTACGACGCCGTCCACTGCGAAACCACAATTTAAAATCATGTACAAAATCGTTCCAATCGTACCAGTCGTAGCAATGTGCTGAGAACCAAGTTGCCACAATGCCGGTAAAGACGTCAGGTAAAATAGATAAACGATCGCGCTGACGGATAGAGGCACTTCGGATTTTTACGTCTAATCTTCGCAGGAACTAATCGCTGGTCATGCTGGAATCTCCCGAAAATTTTAGCTGCCAATTACGTGCAATAGCCCCATAATCGCGTTCACGCCCTCGCGACGGCGATCGATGCCTACTTGAGTGTCGAGAGCAGTCAGAGGAGTATGTCAACATGTATTCCGAGCTTTCTGAATAGTCATTGTCGTAAGATTCGCTGCCTGACGAAGAATGGCGACCCTCGCGACCTTGTAACGGGTACTTTTTGACCAATTTTTACCCCCGGCTCGATTTTAAGCTCGCCTGAGTCCAGGATTCTAACGAGGGTAATTTCTAAATTAATCAAACTAGATATTTAATTAATATTAACAAAAACAGAACCTCTTTATTTCAATAAACCAAAACATTAAACATTATGCAAAGAAAAACGGCGAATAATCAAACTAAACCCATACATACACGGCGTTTACAATTTCTATTACCGTCGTCGGTAATATCGTACTCTCGTCGCTTACAAAATCGCGTCGCTAATTCCCTTCCGTCGGCCCTCTGGTACCCAGCTCCTGACGGGTGACTAGCGCCGCCCCGCAGGCCCTACTTCGCGATTCCAAAGGGAAGAGTGAATAGAATCCACCTCTCCCCCACCTACTCGGCTGGGGTTGCCACCTTTTGGCTGGAGGCCTCCAGGTGGAGAGTCGCCTTTACTCGTAGGTAGATAAGTTCACTTACCTGTGGTAGTCCGCACCAGGTAGAGAGAACTCCCTTTTAATTCCTCTTCCAGAAGTCTCCCGAAGAGAAATTAAACCCAGAGAAAGGTTGCTCAACGGCGGATAATTTTTGGGCTTTATCAACCCAAAAATTATTAATAAAAGCGAAAAGTATTGGCAAATTATCGCCACCTATCGCTCGCCGTCGAACTTCGGGAAATCCCCGAAAATTTATAAGTTTTTAATTTAATTTTCAAAATTAAATATCAAATTCATTCAATTCATTCAACAGATTACATCAATTACATTTTCATACGAATTCGACTAAGAAAAATAATTTCACACAAAAATAAATATTTTACCAAAATTATTTCCCATACTAATTTAATTTCTAGGACTTAGAAAAATAATTAATCGGATATTTCGAATTTATTCAAAATATTTTAATCAATTAATTATTTCAGATAAAGTAAATTTTTGTTCTTTGAAAGAACAAAAATTATCGTGACGCGGTTGCGCTTATATCAGCTCGCCGATTTTTATCGCAAGCGAACCGTCGACGCCATCTATCGCTCGATGGCGAACTAACAAAATTCCTTTTCTTTAAGACGTCGTTTAAAATAATTTTAAATAGAGAAAGAATTATAAACAAAAAATAATATATATATTATTATTAATAATAATAATCGTCGTAAATAAATAATAATATAAACCAAATTTGGCGAAGTAATTCTTTCAATTAATTATTCTAAACGACGTTTCAATAATTTAATTCTAATAATCTTTTTAACAATGAATTATTAATAATAATTAATAATTAACAAAAATATTTAAACTCATAAACAGAAAATAAACTTATATACATAAATGCCGTGGCACGAGTAGTCGACGCGGTCGCGGTAGCGATGGCTCGCTCGGTCCGTCGATGAGTCCCGTCTCTCGTTGCTCACGACACCCCTCCGCCTCCCTGCTTATAATACCTTCTTCACAACCTCTCGAGTCTCTGCCGGTATCCTGAAAACGGACTACCGGACGCGAGATAGTACCCGTGCGACCACCGTCGGCTTGTGCAGTGGCTCCATCTACCAATGCTTGGCCTGGATTGCTCGCCTGACTCGTCCTCGTCGTTGGTCGAGTGCCTGTGACGGTCGTAACAGTGGTTCTCGCTAGTGAGGAGGGTCGAGTAATATGTGGAATTGCGCTTATGTCTGGCATGGGTGGCCCCGACGTGCTAGCACCCACTGGTGACGACGCAGACGGAATAATAGGTGCTGATTCATTACGCCAGCTATTCAAAATCGAATAAAGTCGATCTTCATAAATTTGTAGAACTTCTGAGAACTCGCGACGAGTGGCGTACTGGTCAAGGGCGGCCTCTGCATGTGCCGATCTTGTTCTAGTCGTTCGATGAGGGCGTGAAGACGTCAGTGGTCCTTGCCCACCCTCTGTTGTCGTGGTGCTGGTTCGGGTATTCTCGGGGACTGATTGAGCAGGGTCATCGTGCCATGTCACGATCGGGATATCCTCCTGAAGATCTCATGGCTTTGCCTGAATATTGATAGGCAGACGATTTGGGGTTCCATCAACAATCGGATCCCATGGTACGTCTTTTCCTTCGTCCTTGAATAGCAATCGACGCATGCGCCTTCTCAGCGTGTCGTCATCTCCAATATCCGAGACCCCGCGGTTTCTTAAATACACGCGAAGTGGACCGGGTTCCAAATACTCTGGAATTACTTCGGCGTGGGCAGGTATGCAGTCGATTTCAGGATTCCATCGAACATTGGGAACCTTAAGACGCGTCTGATGGTACCGATTCAGACGATTCTTGAGAACATCTTCTGAACCTAGGGTTGACAGTCCAAAACTGGCCATCGTCAGCCTCAAGTTAGCAATGGGCAAGTCAAAGATCCAGGTAAGTTCCGTCGGTGGGAGAGTTTCTTCGAGATCCTTTTTAGTCGTCGCAGCGACCAGCTCGCTTTTCAAGTCCTGGACCGGGGGACTCTGGATTGTCGACGTCGACTCGCCCGACGTCGCCGGAGGTAGCTCAAGCTCAGGGTCATCTGCTCCACCCCTGAGACGCTCAACTCGCGTCGTGATAAACCACGGTTCGGTTTGAAGCAACGTATCGTACATTTCGCCTAGTAACTCATCTACCATTGACCCGAATTCCTCATCCGAAATGTCATAATCCCAACTATAGTCATCCATCTCACTCATAATCCGCGTATAACCTGTACGGAACGCTCAAATTTCATTCGCATTCAATTACAATCAAATCGCTCCCCGCAATTATCGCCCGGGTATCGAAATCTCTAAATAAACGATTAATGGCTCCCTGGCCCCACGTTGGGCGCCATGTAACAAAACTGTCCCCGAAATTTTAAACAAATTTTTACCGGATGCGGAGATACCGGCCGGGTAAAGTTTTCTACGCTCGCCCTTTTTTAACAAAACAATAAAATAAACCCGAGACTACCCAGGATGGGTTAGTGCACGAAAAGGACGCCAGGTAATTTTATATAAAAATTACCAAAATGATAAAAATGCCAAGGGCCTCACCGGACGATCAATTAACGACTTGAGATAACGTGAACGAAAAATGAATTATGAAGTAATTAAAGCTAATATTAGAATAGAGTGAAAATAGAGATAGCAAGTAATGTTCTATATCAATTAACTAAAGTATGGAAAATGAGTTGTAGGAAAAGTACAGGAAATCAGAGAGTTAGCAAAAAGGAGTAATTCGAAAAGTTATCAGATTAATCAATTAAATAAATTTTCATATATAGATTTATTTTAATTACGGCCTCAGAGGTTAAAATTGTTGAGATCCTCGCAGGCCAACTTATTTCTATTTCTGTGTACAAAATAAATTCTTTTTGAAAATCTTAACCGATAATTGACTTTTGTTCGTCTTAAATGTGGTACAATTGCATTTAAGTACAATAATGATCGCAATAAAAATAATTTTAACAATGATCAGGTTTAAACAATATTAAATATAATTTGCTCACAAGAAAATACCAGCGGTGGCAATCAATATTTATCAATAATTATTTTGAGTAACGCAAAATAATAATTATATACAATGCAAAATAATAATAATTGCTTCGCTAATTATAAGCCAAATCATAATATTCGACATTCAATGTCGTCAGTCGCACTGTTTTCAGAAATTAATAATAATTATAACAAAAGTACTGTTGATCGCAAATTGCGTCAGCTAATTTTTTAATAAATTTGGTCGCAAAGCATAAACAATGATAATAATAAATAATGTTCACTAATATTATTTATAAATTAATATCCAATTTAATAACTTTAATATTAATTAATATTTAATTGCATTAATTGTTATTCGCTTTTGGAATATAATTGCGATAATTAATAAACAGCGTTAATCGCTCTGGAAAATTATAAACGCAATAATAATAATAAACTGCGTGGAAAATAATTATAAAAATATCGCAGTATCAAATTTATATCTTAATAACTGCGCAATAAAATTCTGACACGAGCCACAGGACGCGATCAGGTGATCAACCGCCGTGAAATTTCCCCCGAGAGGCCTTTATTTAATTTTATTTAATAAATTAACTCACGTTTGATCATACATGTGTTTAATTTTATTACCAAATAATTCAACGCAATTAATTTACAATGTACCAGCCACGTGGCCAAGATGGCGGCCTCACGTGGGAAACCGGCGCTGGATCCCACCTGGGAGAATCTCAACAATCGCCACGATGGAATAATGCCAAAGACTTACCGAGATTTGTCAAATCACCTGGTCAAAATACTCTCGGTGGATTAAATAAAGACTGATAAACAATCACTATGTTAATTAAACAACAATTATAAATAATATTATAATACAATGGCTTGGGCACACTGATGCGTTAATTTC